CATGGCCGGTACAGGATACCGAGGACAGGGGATTGCTATATCAATGAATGCAAGACTACACGTTTCCGTTACAGATAAATCACGGTATTCGCGCTTGTCACAGTAGTTATTATACACCCTCTGAACCATACCTCCCACCCAGCAGCCAGAGATCTTTTTGGGCGCAGGCCAATGGCGGCGTTTTGAGTGTTTCGCGCAATAGATCAAAGCTCCGTTCATCGGCGTTGAATTGCCCCGCCTGACGCTAAAGCTAACTCGCATTACCTCCAGGCCGTCTCTGACCGACGACGGCTCATTCAGGCCGAGAAATCCCCTGGCAGGGAGCTTCCCGGAGGTGAGCCGAGCGAGGCTGCTTCGACGACATTTTGTAAGACGGCTCAAAGTACCGAAGTCTAGAATCAAGACTGGGCAGCTTGGACAAGGCACCCAATGATCCCTGGGGAAGCACAAGAGCTCACTCGGAAGGAGAATGACATGATCTGTGGTATTGACGGCCGTGAATTATCAAGAAGTTGGGTGAATCATTTTGCGCCTGGTGCACAAGACTTCCACGATGCATTGCTTGCACATGGTAAAGTGCTATGAAGGAATGCACGTTAATGCTGTAACACTATGACATGGGGCCGGCGAACATCCTCGTGAATCTTGGCCATGGCTGCAAGCTGAATATTGATACATCATCAGGCGTCAGGGGGTTATCAGGGGAAGATACCCCTAATACTCAAGGGCCCATTCCAATGAAGACACATCGAATGTCCATTCCCAGGCGAAACAGCCGGAGCACGCGTGTCTCGGGTTCGAGACGGCATGGAGAAGGCTGCTATTCAATGGCACTGTTGGTGTGGATGTCTGCAACTACTTGTTCATGGCGGAGGCTGGAATAGCAATGCCATTGCCTGCCCAATTCGATTTTACCATGTTTCACCGAGCTAGATGTGAGATGCTGGCTGATAATTTGAAGATACGTGTGCTCGTGGACCCCAAATCTGGTGGACTCGTCACCTGAAGTCTTTATTGAAGGGAGACTAACCCTGCAGGACCTTGCTAGAACCCCTGAAAAGGCCTGGCCAGCCGCAGCATCCAATCAGCGCGTGGCCTGACGCTGGAAGTGCCAGGTGGCAGCAGCGGCTCTCACAGCAGGCGGCAGTAATTATTAGTTCGCAGCATTGTTTCCTGGGAGCTTCCTTTCCCATCCACCTCGCCTACAACGACAAGCATCGGCTTGGACTGGGACTAACAAGGTTGTGCGTGCTAGAGGGAGCGCCCAAAACACCGCCCAAGAGAGAGAAAGTATACTTACAACATGGCGCGCAACGACACGCCGCAGGGCAGCTTGCGCCAGCGCAACACCCCAGCGAAGAAGGCAGAGCAACCCGCCGCTGCCAAACCCGAGATCGAGGTTGACAAGCTGGTCAAGGCCGCTCAGCAACAGGCTGCTGTCGACAAGGAGTGGGACTATAAGATTGTTTGTGCTATCATCACCGGACTGGCTTTTGTCACGCGTTTCTGGGGAATCAGCCATCCCACTGAAGTCGTTTTCGACGAGGTTCACTTTGGAAAGGTAAGCTCTTACTCGCCGCCAATTTCATCCCGCGATGCGCTCTCATTGTATTTGGAAACTTGGCCATAACTAACCAGCTGCTTGCTTAGTTTGCATCCTACTACCTCGAGCGAACCTACTTCTTCGATGTGCACCCTCCTTTTGGAAAGCTCCTTTTCGCCTTTATGGGCTGGTTAGTTGGATATGACGGCCATTTCCACTTCGATAACATTGGCGACTCCTACATTACCAATAAGATCCCATATGTCGCGTTCAGGTCTCTCCCTGCCATTCTGGGTGCCCTGACCGTCACCGTCACCTACCTCATCATGTGGGAATCCGGATACAGCTTGCCGGCTTGTATTCTTGCTGCAAGTCTGGTTCTCCTGGACAACGCCCACATCGGCCAGACCCGCCTCATTCTCCTCGATGCGACTCTGATTTTCGCCATGGCTTGCAGTCTTCTCTTCTACATCAAGTTCTATAAGCAACGCCACCAGCCGTTCGGCAGGAAGTGGTGGAAGTGGCTGATCCTCACTGGCTTCGCGCTCTCTTGCGACATCTCAGTCAAGTACGTGGGTGTGTTTGCCTTTGCTACAATTGGCTCTGCTGTCATCATTGACCTGTGGGAGCTGTTGGATATCAAGAGGCCCGGTGGCGCTCTCAGCGTGCCCGAGTTCGCCAAGCACTTCATTGCTCGTGCCTTTGGTCTTGTGATCCTGCCCTTCATCTTCTATTTGTTCTGGTTCCAGGTCCACTTCACCGTCCTCAACCGATCTGGCCCTGGTGACGATTTCATGACTCCTGAATTCCAGGAGACTCTGAGCGACAATGTGATGCTTGCAAACTCTCTTGACATCCAGTACTATGATTCCATCACGATCCGCCACAAGGAAACCAAGGCCTACCTTCACAGCCATGTCGACCAGTACCCTCTTCGATACGATGATGGTAGAGTGTCTAGCCAGGGCCAGCAGGTGACTGGATATCCATTCAATGACACCAACAACAATTGGCAGATTCTCCCCATCGACGACAACAAGCAAACCGGACGCAATGTCAAGAACAACGATGTTGTTCGTCTCAAGCATCTTGGCACTGACAAGATTCTGCTTTCGCACGATGTGGCTTCCCCTTACTACCCCACCAACCAGGAGTTTACTTGTGTTACTCAGGAGGAAGCGCTCGGGCCGCGCCAGAACGACACTCTGTTCGAAATTCGAATTGAGCACGGGAAGAAGAATCAGGATTTCAAGACCATTGCCAGCCATTTCAAGCTGATTCACTTCCCCAGCAAGGTTGCCATGTGGACGCACACCAAGCCCCTCCCCGAATGGGGCTACAAGCAGCAGGAGATCAACGGAAACAAACAGGTCGCTCCCAGCTCGAATATTTGGTTTGCCGAGGATGTCCCATCCCTGGCACTTGACGACAAAAGACGCGACAAGCCACCGCGCAAGGTCAAGTCTCTGCCCTTCCTGCAAAAGTGGTTTGAGCTCCAGAGGGCCATGTTCTACCACAACAACAAGCTTACGAGCAGTCATCCCTATGCCAGCTACCCTTGGCAGTGGCCTTTCCTTCTCCGAGGTGTGAGCTTCTGGACTCAGGCGGAGACCCGCCAGCAGATCTACTTCCTTGGAAACCCAATTGGCTGGTGGCTTGCCAGCAGCTTGCTCGCAGTCTTTGCTGGCATCCTCCTAGCTGATCAAGTTTCGTTGCGCCGTGGCTTGGACGCCCTTGACCATCGTATGTATAACCCTATATGTTATCCCGTACCTTAACTGGTCAGTCGGCAGGAATACTAATAGTTGCGCTAGGTACTCGCTCTCGTCTGTACAACTCCTCCGGCTTCTTCTTCATTGCCTGGGCCACTCATTACTTCCCGTTTTACCTGATGGGCCGTCAACTTTTCCTGCATCATTATCTCCCTGCCCATGTGGCCTCGTGTTTGGTGACGGGCGCTCTTTTGGAGTTCGTCTTCAACACGGAAACCAGCGATGAAAATGTTGTCTACGGTGACCGTAAGAAGGGTGGCGGGCCCAAGAAGCACATCACTGCTCGCGAGAGGTACGCAGGCCAGAGCATGATCGGTGCCTGGGTGGCTTGCTTTGGCATTATTGCTTTTGCCGCCGCTGGATGGTACTTCTTCCTCCCCCTGACTTACGGCTACCCCGGCCTGTCGGTTGAACAGGTCCTTATGAGGAAGTGGCTTGGATATGATCTTCACTTTGCCAAATAAATGGCAGAGTAAGACGAGGTCGCTGGTGTACAGATTTAGTTGGGGTGGAAGGACGCCAAAATCCGGGCGTACCGACACATTCCTTGCCGACATTTCCCTCACTCTCACAACCCTCACACACTCCCTCACTCTCCTAGTCATCAAATAGTCTTCTCATCCTTTTGTAAACTTGAAAAGGGGAAATGTAGGATTTTCAGATATGTACTTTAGTCGGATGGATGAATTTCTTCTTCTATTTGTCAAGCAGAAGAAAAACAAGGGGCGCACGCTACTTATATATCCTAGGAAGGGAAACGGCACAGAATTTATTTATTTTATTGAAAGTGAAGGATACTGATGATGCTAAGCTACTGCCGGTCTGTCTTTGGAACAGGGTTAAAAGCAGACATGGTAGTGTCGAGAATAGTACTCGTAACGACGTATATATCTACCTATGTGCATAATTGCAGATCCAGGACCAACGTGCGTTCGCAGGTAAGAGTGAAACGAACCAGGTCCATGTGTTTTGGCCCCTATTCTGCTGTCGGTTTTGTCCTTTTGCTGTCTCTCCTTTTCACAATTCTACTGCCTGGGCTTGGCTATTGTGGATGCGCTATCAAGGGGCTACATTCAATGGGCCAAGCCAACAGCTGCACTAAGATGGCACTACATATTAATACATGCAGCCTGTACATGGAGGAATCTGGGGCATGTAACATAAAAAGTGTCAACCTGCAGCAAACATTCCCGTTTCGAGGTACTATGTAATGTGCATGCAAGCCCAGGGGCGTGGCTGAGTCAAAAACCGGCGCCAGGAACAGGGCATTTCAATCATTTCTCACACGCGCGTCGGGGCCTTGGAGGTATGTGTCGTAGCCGCTACGTGAGTACCTTGGCAAGGTACACATCCAATTATTGCCATGGGAGGGGAGATGCCAAGTGGCTCCCATCCCTCGTCAGCCACACGCAGCCCTGCGGACCTGGGATCGTTCATTCGTTCGTATCGGTATAATTATTCTACGTAGTCTTCCGTCTGAACTTCAGTCTTCAACGTCGCATTCAGGGTCTTTTTGTGTCTCGACGCTGGAGTCCGCCAATCTCACGCCCAATTGCTCTCCCTGAGCCGGACTATGGCTGTCTCCCCCGCATATGAAAGGTGACAGAACACTGCCTACTACCTGAACCCCCCCCGAGGCGAGGGCCGGCGCGCGCAGCGTCGTGGAGTGTGAAACAAGGGAAGCCATGGGGATCCCGTCTGCACGCCGGCTGCATCTCCGGCGCATCACCCGCCACAGGATCTCCCGGATCCTGCTGCTGGTGTTCGCCCTCGTCAGCTTCTTCGACGTGCTCCAGGTCCACCACGGCATCGGCAGCAACGAGCGGGAGCCGCAGAGCAACCGCCGCTCGCGCCAGCAGGAGCGCATCTACATCACGGGCCTGCACTACAACGACGGCGAGCTGCTGCGGGACCACTGGATGACCTCCCTGCTCGAGCTCGTGAATGAGCTGGGCCCCGGCAACGTGTTTGTGAGCCTGCACGAGAGCGGCAGCTGGGACGATACCAAGGAGATGCTGCAGTGGCTGGACCAGGTCCTCGAGGAGCGCGGGGTCGCCCGGCACATCGAGGTGTCTGACGAGTCGCACCAGGACGTCATTGACCGCGGGTTCGCCGAGGGGGAATGGGTTGAGACGTCGGCGCGCGAGAAGGCCGTCCGGCGCATCCCGCACCTTGCTCGGCTTAGGAACAAGACTCTGCAGGATCTGATTGAGCTGAACAAGAATGGCGTCAAATTCGATAAAGTCTTGTTTCTTAATGACGTAGTCTTTACGGTTTGTTCTTTTCTCCTCTCCCATTGCATTTACAAATGGTTATTGACAATATCACCCGCAGACGGAGGATGTCATGACTCTCATGGAGACCAATGGCGGAGAGTACGCGGCTGCGTGTTCCCTCGACTTTGATGCCCCTCCAATCTACTACGACACATTTGCCTTGAGAGACTCGGCGGGCCGCCCGGACCGGATGCTCTGGTGGCCCTATTTCCGCCCTGGGCCCTCAAGGGATGCGCTGATGAAGAACATTGATGCCGTGCCCGTTACTAGTTGTTGGAACGGTATTGGTGAGTGGCAAATGCTCTATATGCGATTCTTTTTCATATAAAACCCCAGCTAACCTTGGTAACCAGTCGTCATGCCTGCGGAGCCGTTCGTTTCATCGACCCAGCTCCGCTTCCGAGCCATTCCCAATTCCCTGGCCGCCCACCATCTTGAAGGCTCTGAGTGCTGCCTCATCCACGCCGACAACCCCCTCTCCAAGAGTCTAGGTGTGTATCTGAACCCGCGAGTCCGGGTCGGCTACAACAAAAAGGCCTACGACGTGACCCACCCCAAGGGGAGCTGGATCTCGACCTGGGCCATCCTCCGCGGCCTGTGGGTGAACAGGATAAAGACCTGGACGACCGGGCTGTTCTGGGACGACCTGGTCCAGAATAGAGTGTTAAGCAAGGTGAAGAAATGGGAGAAGGAGGCCATGGGCAACTCGGAGCCCGGCGTGTTCTGCCTCATCAACGAGATGCATGTCCTGGTCTGGAACGGCTGGGCGCACATCTGACATGGTCTCTCATCATCATTTTCCTTTTCTCCTGTGTTATTCTAAAACGAGAAAAAAAAACTGAGAGGTTGGATACCCTCGTTACCCTTTGTACTACATATCTGGAGAGGATAATTTTCTTTTTTTGAATAGATTTGCCTAGTGAGGCCGGCCGGACAGAGGCGTTTTGATCCTTCCAAATTTAGGGACAGCATATAGAATGACAAAAAAAAGTTACTGGGTTGATACTATTGCGAAGAGCATTCGAGAATCTATCCAAGACTCCGTTTACTTTGATGTTGTCACGTTCCGATAGGCACAGCCATATACTGGATATAAAAATTTTGATATTTGAAAGACAAAAAGAAAGTCTATCACGTTGATACGCCAATCAAATCCCCTTGGGACTTTTTTTCGTGGGGGGTTTTACCCTTGATTTTTTTTTCCAAAACAAGAAGGAGATATCTCACTGCTACAATGACATGAGGCCATCTCAAAATATTCCACTTGGAGGTTTTTACCTTTTTTATTTTTGCTGAGGGGTGTTTAGTGGTGGAACAGGCGGATGTTCTGCTCAACAAAGGTGATGCCCAGCTTCTCGGCGGTGTCGAAGACGGGGCCGTCGTTCTGGCTGCCGCTGGGGGCGGCGATGTACTTGACTCCGGAGCGGGCAGCACGGAATACGTTGTCGATGAAGGGGAACTGGTGAGACATGGTTAGTTTCTATTTTTACAGAAGGTTCCAAAGGCTAGTCAAGGGGGGAGGAAGGGGGGCGCTGGAAGTGGCGGTCAACTTACAAAGGCGTCACTGGAGACGGCGACATCCTTCAGCTGCTTCATCCAAGCCTCGCGCTCCTCGCTGGTGAAAGCGGCGGGGACCTCCTCGAAGACAGCCTCGAAGCCTTCCCTCTCGATGCCGTCCTTGGGGAGTTGGCCGCTCACGAGCAGGTCAATGGCGTTGCTCTTGTCGGCGCGCTTGGTGCCCTTCTTCCACTTGAGGCCGAGCACGCGCTCGTGGAACCGCATCCACCAGTTGTCGGCCTTGTCGCCGGCAAGGCGGGTGCAGTGGATACGGGACTGCTGGCCGGCACCGAGACCGATAACCTGGCCGTTGACGGCGTAGCACACAGAGTTGCTCTGGGTGTACTTGAGGGTGATGGTGGCGACGGTGAGGTCGCGGGCGGCGGCCTCGGTGAGGGTGCCGGCCTTGGGGGTGATGACCTTGGTGAACGACTTGGGGCTGACGAGGTAGTCGTTGCGATGCTGCTGCAGGCTGATGCCGTAGACGGTGCGGGTCTCGGTGCCGGAAGGGTTGTACTCGGGGTCGATCTGGAGGACCAGGTAGCGCCCACCCTTCTTCTTCTTGAGAATCGCGAGAGCGGCATCGTCGTAGCCGGGGGCAATGACACCGTCGGAGACTTCCTTGGAGATGATGCTGGCGGTGGCCACATCGACGACGTCGCTCAGGGCAATGACATCACCGAAGCTGCTCATGCGGTCGGCGCCACGGGCACGTGCGTAGGCCTGGGCAAGAGGGGAGCTGTCAATTCCCTCAATGTCGCTAACAAAGTAGACCTTCTTCTCGTCCTCGGAGAGGGGAGTACCGATAGCAGCTCCGGCCGGGGAGACGTGCTTGAAGCTGGCGGCGGCGGGGAGGCCAAGTGCCTGCTTGAGCTCCTTGACCAGAGGCCAGGCATTGAGGGCATCGAGCAGGTTGATGTATCCGGGGGCTCCGCCGAGAACCTTGAATGGCAGCTTGCCCTCGGCGGTGAAGGCGGCGGCGGGCTTCTGGTGGGGGTTGGCGCCGTAGCGGAGGGCGAGGTATTGGTCGCCATCAGAGGCATACTCCTTGCGGAAGAAGTCTGAGATGGCCGAGTCGTAGTCGGCAGTGTGCTCGAAAGCCTTGAGGGCATACGAATTTCGGCTGGTCTCGGAGATCTCGCCAGCCTCGAGCTCCTTGAGGAAGCCAGCATAGTCGGCAGGGTCGCTGAGGATGGTGACGCGCTTGTGGTTCTTGGCGGCGGCGCGGATGAGGGTGACGCCACCAATGTCAATCTCCTCGACGGCCTCGGGGACGCTGACGTTGACCTTGGCGACGGTGTCCTTGAAGGGGTAGAGGTTGCAGATGACATAGTCGACCTTGCTGATGTTCTGCTCAGCCAGGTCCTTCTCGTCGGATGCCAGGTCACGGGCGAGGATACCGGCGTGGACGGCCGGGTGGAGGGTCTTGACACGGCCAGCCAGCATCTCGGGAGCCTTGGTGATGGCAGAGACGTCCCTACTTGGGTTTTAGCAATCAACCATTGACGAATCCATCAATCCATTGACCGCGTGCATGCGGCGGAATGGACAGACAGGGCTGTGCATACTCTACCGGGAAACCAGACTCGCGGATCATGCGAGCAGTGCCGCCCGATGCGAGGATTCGGACATTCTGCTGGACCAGACCCTTGGTGAGGTCGAGGAGGCCGGTCTTGTCGAAGACGGAGACAATGGCGATCTTCTGGTTGGAGGCCATGATGACTGTTGAGATGGATAACCCAATGCCTCACTCACTTGACTGCTCCTGGGAAGACTGTTGTTTTTATGAGCAAAAAGTGCAGAATGGAAACAAAGTGCAGAGCGAGTTGCGACATCGCCGGAAAAGTTTGGCGGGGTAACTACATAAAGCTGCTCTGCCTTTTGCCCGCCAATATCGGAGCTCAGCTGCCCCATAGCGGGGTGGTTGATTTTTTTTTCGTGCTGCACCCTCCCGACTCTGTCCTGTTTCAACTCGTGCTAGTGCCTATCAAGTGATTCCAATTACAAAGATAAGATGTCTCTTGTGTAAGGGAAACAGGATTTCCCATATCCCCTACCCATATACACTCGTGGCTTGATGAGGAGCCAGAGAAGCCGAATATCGCCATGCTTCTGGTGGGAGCTACGTAATGATCTGCAATGGCTCGACTTCTGGGAGCACTTTCCTGGCCCACTCATTCTGGTTTGCCAATAACGGCATGCTCCTAAGTAACTTCCAAGGCAAACAGGGAGATTTAGGATCTATAACTTGGTTTGGGCTTGCCACTTAAGGATTGTTAGGGTAGACTAGAATATCCTAGTCGAAGAGTTGTATGTTGGCGGCCATTTAGACATTGTGGTAGTTCAGGTGTTGGGGGCTCATCCCTCGCCGTCATTTCAACTTTGACGTTGAGGCTGCCCAGGGCTCATGTGGCTTTTACCTGTTCAGGACTAATACGAAGTAAAAGTGAATTCTCATCATCGAAAAATATTGCTTAGCCTTAAGTACTTTACTAGAGATATTGTTCGGCAGGCTGAGCCACGTACTTTTGGAACCGCGAAGCATGATCACGAGATGACCACCTCCCCTTTCTCCCTTCTTATTTCCTACTTCCGAAATGAAAAGCAATATATTTAGGCGTGCAGAAGTGAACATAAAATCCGCAACTACTCCGGGAACGGAGAATGCCCTTGGTATCCAGGTATTGAGTTTCACGTACAAGTCTGAGACGGTACAACGATCGGGGAACTGTTGCACTCTATCCCACCTCTCAGCATGTTACTTTTGGATTGTGCCTCTCAAAAACTAATTCTCGAGTTTTGCTCGCATATAAATTTGAGCTTCCGCCACCTTGGTCAACTGTGCCGCCCGACTTCAATGTAAAAGCAGCCACCAAAACCTTCAAATAGTAAAAGCCACCATGAGAGAAAAAGCTGTATACATCTACGCGAAAGCGTTTTTTGATCGAAAAGGATTTCTTTATACTTCATTCATCAACAAGGAAATCGGTTCGCCCTTTTCTCTCGAGCCCTGAACCTCGAGCTTGCTATCCCCCAATCTTAGATCCTCTCTACAACATCGGAACCTAATTCTATTCTACAATGAAGATTCCAAGTTGTAAGATCAAGGAAAAGCTAAAGCGATGCAGGAACGTGACTATTATCCCCCGCTGTTGGCGAAATGATAAGCGGGCAACCTTAGCAAGCAGCGCCAGTGGGAACGAACCACTCCCATCTTCCGATGATTCTACATCACCTGGACCAGTAACAAACAAACACAAAAAATCGTTTGAATGGATTAATATTTCCTCGTTCTTCTCATCGTCCTCGAAGGAAAGGGTCCGGGACTCCAGCCAGAACCTCTCTAGTATCTGGTTCACTCCTGCCCGCTCATCGGCATCTCTCGAGGAAGCCCAAGAGTCTCGTGAAAGCTCCGAGCGCCAACCTTCACTTCGCGCCCCGTCAACTATCTCGACTCCGCTTTCTGGAACCCACTCATTGACACGGATCAACGCCGACGACCATCGGCCGCCTCAAGACCAGAGTTCTCCCGGAGAGGAGAGCACTATTCAACCCCGGACTGTTCTTGAAGATCAGAACTCCCTCGGGTACATGGACTTTGGGGCAGTCGATAGTTATTCTGATCGGGGTCTCTTCAGCTGGAACGACCGACACTCAAACTTTGGTGATTCCCAGAGCGACCAAACCGATGTCCAGGCGGGAGAGGTAATGAAGTTGGAGAAGAGAGGCGTCAGATCCGCCGTACAGACCTTCTGGCTAAAACATGACCTCTCGCGCAATCCCTTCCTTCCCCGGCCCAAGCACTTGAAACCGGCTCGTGTTAGGTTTCCCCTTGGTCAATGAAATGTATATTTAGTGTTGGATATTCGGGTATATCTTATGAGCCGCGAGCTACGATACGATTAATCTCTCTGGGGTAGACATGCGCACTATGATGGGCGACTTTGAATAGAGCAGCGCTCGCTGACATGATATCACATGATCAAACCTTCTCCGTGAAGTGGAAGCATGGGCATGGTTGAGGGTTGATGGTATGTCAGAAGCAGACCGGGGTGTATGGAAGGGGTTGGTGTTCGGTACCCAGATGGCATTTTCTAATTCGATTTCGGTGTGTGTATAATGGATGGATCTTACGCAAATGGTGTTACGTATTCCGTAGACGTGTCTGGTATAATTTTGGGTTTAATTTGGCTGTCTCGCGATTCAGGCAGCAGAATTATCGAGATAAAAAAGCCACCATGTGCAAGGGTGGGCAACAGAAATCCAGCAGCCTAACACGATCTACAGAGCGATCGAGCTAGGACATCTACTGGGCTAGGAGTGCCAAGGTGTCATTCGTCAATTGCTGACGTTGAAAGGTCTTGGTCTGGAGTGTGAGGGGAGCGACGGCAATTGGCACGGACGCTTTCGATCGAGTGGGTTATGTTGGGCTGGGCGGAGCGATATGGGGCGCGGCTGAAGGCAGCAGAATTACTTCAAGAAGAAATACGACTGCCTGGTAATTAGGGACAGACAGTGTGGGCGACCCATGCCAGTTTTTCCGTAACACGCTACGCCTCGGGAATGGTTCTTTTCGCAGCTGAACTGAAGGTGGGATTGTGAAAGGCGTCATCGAGAAGCAGGCGTGCTGCCAAGGCGACCGACAGAAAGTTACAATACTCGCTCTATCGATGATGGATGGCAACCACCCACCCACCTCCAGCGTCGTAGTGATCAATGTGGATGATTGGACTGGGAGAGGTCACCGGTAAGTGGGGGACAGTATCGTGATAGGGCTGAGCAAGAGAGCCCAGTGGAAGTGCAGCAATCAGTTTCAGGGCCAGGGATGCCACCGACCCACGTTCATACGTGTCCGCTCCTCGTACGGAATTGAAGGGGGGACTGCAACTAGGTAATAAGCTGATCACGGGCTTAGCTCTGATTGTTGATTGTGGGGTGGGATGGAGCTGTTATCATGTAAATAACCAATTGAAGCCGGATCTGGAAAGCGAGGCAACAGGGAAAGTGGCAGGAATCTGCACAGGGACTTCAATGAGAGAGGGTCGTCCGTGGTGAGATCTGAAGTTGTGTTTGGCATGCGTCAAGGGGGAACCTGGATGCGGACAGATCAACCAAACACACCTGAGGAGTCCGAGCTCATGTTTGCGCCAACCAAAGAAGACACATGTGAGTGCAGTGTCTCATTTCCAGCCCTACCAGCCGGACACAGACGAATGCATGCCATCACACCCACCAAAGGTGGAGGAGTCGCAGACGAAGAGTCTCCACCTTGTCTGGCGGTGCTTGACTCAATGCATGACTCCTTGGTTCCAGCTAGAGCCAGTCACCCTTGTCAAAGCTGTGTGCCAAGCGCTGTAGCCAGTTGAGTCAAGCGACGGGGTCGTATCCGGAAACCATGCCATGCCGTCACAAGGGAGGAGTCAACACAGCCCCAAACAGACATGTCCAGACTATTCGGCCCAGCATGGTCGCAGTTTTAAAGTCCTGAGAGCCTTAGAAGAGTATCACCGTGTAGACGCACGAAAACGATAAAGATGAAGTGATGGAAGGGAATGGCCGCCTGTCTCTCATGTCAGGGCGAATCAATTGGTTTGGTGGAGCCGCAATGTGATACATGATACATACAACGGAGCATCACACTCAGAACCCCGCCGGAGAGCTGGAACTTTGAGCAAGGTTGGTATTAATGGTCTAGCGCGCATCAAGAGGCGATGTGCCAAAACGCCCACAAGGGCGCACAGGGAGTCAGGGATCATGGCATGGACCACTTTTGGTAATAACAAGTGTGCGCTCGAATGCGCGAGACCAAAGACTGGATTCGCTTAGTTGGTTGGTCTGCAGGAGCGTCAACATACAGAAGCGGTTGTTGCTGGATCAGTCAATCGGCGGGCCTTCATTCGTCCATGGCCGTCGCCAGCATACGGACCAGACAGTGCATGTGGGGAGATGGGAAAATGGAAATGGTTGAGGGAGGAGTCGGAATAAAATTGGGGACCATGATGGAGAAGGCATTTTGGGGCAGCTTGCGCCGCAGTCCACTTGAGACACTGCTGCCGGGGGGTTGTGGGGGTGGCCATAAGGATTGGGGCAGCTGCGAGCTGCCAGAGTTGCCAGAAGTTCCAGGCGGACCAGAGGCCGTGACTTTGCCTGGTAATGCGGATCTTTGCTGTGCTAGTGCAAACAACTGGGCCAGTGCCGTTGGGATTGTTAGTGGTGGATGTACATTCTCATACTCAAATATAGCGCCATGGACCAGGTCCGTGCGGACGTAAGCAAGCGGTGCGCTAATCCTCTCCGCAAGCCTTTCTCCACCTTCCCGCGTCTGATTGGCTGAGATTCTAGGCAACAGCCTCCGGGCTGAGCAATCGCCTTCAGATTTGCTGGACGACGACACCATTCACAGTACCTGCTCCCTCGCAACTCCGACGGCCTCGTTCTGACGACCTTCACATCACGCCCCCCAACGCTCTTCGTTTTCCTCCTTCCCAACGGCCGCCAGAGCTAATCCATTCCCAAGACTCGCTGCATACCACAGTATTACTTCACTGTGGTCCAATTCGACTGGTCTGGTCTCTCCCTACCCCCCTTCTCGCCCGTTTATCGTGTGCTTGGTCGTGCGTGCACTTGTTCGTTCAAATAACCGTTACTTCCTGCCACACCCGCGGTAAACTTGCCTCGCTCGCTCGAAATATATTATTCCGTGCTTGCGTCCTCCGACCTCACTGTGTCCTATCCCCGAGTCCTATCTGGCCCAGGTTTTGGACGAGTAACCACTAGTTTGACCACTGTACTTACTCAGGACTTACTTCGCCGCCTTCCAAACCTCCCACGCTTCTTCCGTCTTCCATCAACCTCCTTCCACCATCATCCGTGTCATCCGACCTTTGAACCGAGTAGGACTGCCACGTTTCCCACACGCCCTTTTTTCAACATTCATTCAATTTATTGACTCTTGAGGCCAGTCGATAGCATTGTTTCTTCCTTGGCTGGGCGCGCCTGTCGATTATCTGGATTCCCCCCCTTGGTCGTGGTCGGGAACCTTCGCCTTGTGACTCATAATCACGAACTCTCCCCACTTGAGAGTTGGGCTGAGTAGTCAAGGCTTATTGTCCGGCCTCTCGCTTCCCGCAGACACAAATACAAGGCTTCAAGCTTCCCTTTCCGCCACCATGGCTTCCTCCAACCCTCGTCGTAGGACTCCGGCTACTCGTTCCGGTGAAGCTGGCGACGCCTCTCTTAAGACTTCCATGGCTCTTCGCAAGGGCGCCACCTTCCACTCTCCATCACCATCAACGTCGTCGTCACTTGACGACCTCGACTTCACACCTCCACGTCTATCCCGATCTCAGAGCCACATGGACGACGTCGTCGACGCTAATCGTCGCCGTATCGCACTGGCCTTGAACGAGTTTGACGAAGCCCTGTCCACCAAGGCTGAAGGCCTTTCCCTCTCCTCAAAGCAGGACAACATCGATGCTCTTCGAGACACTGGCCTCCCCGTACCTCGTGGCTTCCTTGAGTTGCCCCTTATCGACCCGAAATCGATGGCCAAGGAACAAGAGAAACGAACACTCCGTCCTCGATCGACTCGACGGACACACCGCCACACCTCTGACAGCGGGCTTGGCTCTTCGCTGGCCTCTTCCAGCGATACCCTCGCTGACAAGAAGGGCAGCCCTCAAACAACCGCTACTGCCATAACTCGTTCAGCAGCCGCTCCCAGTATGGAGAATCTTCCCTCGCTCGGCACCAAGGCCGTGCACCGCATTCACGAACATCTTCTTGGACCCCTCCTGGAGAAATCCACCCTTAGAGACTTCAAGCCTATTGTGCTTGATGTACCCCGTCGTATCCGATCAAAAGAGATCATTTGCCTCCGCGATGTGGAGAAGACCCTGCTATTCATGGCACCGGTGAGTCAACTTTTGAGTAATAATGGTTTGTGGGCGAGTACTTATCGAAAGTTATGCTTGAAGGAGAAGGCCAAGTCACCCGCCTTGTACCTGGACTTCTGCCTCACGTCGATTCGATGCATCCAAGCGACTGTCGAGTACCTCACCGACCGAGAACAAATCCGACCCGGTGATCGACCTTACACTAACGGCTACTTTATCGACCTGAAGGAACAAATTTATCAATACGGCAGGGAACTTGCCGCCTACAAAAACGGAGAGCTAAGTGATTCTATGGATCTTGACCAGTATGTGCCGCGTTTTGTGCCTATTCGACCCAAAGCTGACACCAACAACCAAAGATCTGATGAGATTCGTCTCATTGGAGGCATCCACGAGAATGGCAGACCCGCAGAGCTCGTCCGCGTCAAGAAAGACGGCACTGCCATCTCTATGGCCACTGGTAAGCCTGTTGTGCTACATGACGGTCCCGTTCAGGTGAAGCGCTCCCTCAGCGAGGTGAGAGAAGACGAGGAAGAGATTATGCGATCAATGGCCCGCCGTAAGAAGAATGCCTCCCCCGAGGAGTTGGCACCAAAGAGATGCCGTGAGCCTGGATGCAACAAGCAGTTCAAGCGCCCTTGTGATTTGACCAAGCATGAAAAGACCCACTCTCGTCCTTGGAAGTGCCCGATGGAGAATTGCAAGTATCACGAATTCGGCTGGCCAACCGAGAAGGAAATGGATCGCCATATCAACGACAAGCACTCCGATGCTCCCGCCATGTACGAGTGCCGGTTCAAGCCATGCCCGTACAAGTCAAAGCGTGAGTCGAACTGCAAGCAGCACATGGAGAAGGCCCACGGTTGGAAGTATATTCGCACCAAGACGAATGGATCCAAGAAGCCTTCCATCAAGCCCGCCAGCTCAGTCCAGCAGGCCAGCTCGGTCCAGCAAACCCCACCACTGGGCAACGCGTCCACGCCTTCTGATGCGTACAGTGTCGCCACTCCACCCCAGGATGGCGTGACTGCTTCCTCTGGCGACTTTCCTCTGTACCCGGCAGACGCCGACTGGCTTGCCACTTATGGGCTGCAGCCAGAGACTCTGGACACAATGGATTTGTCCATGGAGAACCTCTCCCCATCTTCAGCTGGTTCATACGAGAATTTCCCTCCGTACCAGAACGGTTCACAATTTATTACAGATGAAGATATCTATGCGGCCACGGCTCAGATGCCGACTCACATGCCCAACCCTGCCGACTTGATGATGTACGGCAAGATGGCTCAGCCCCCTCTATCCTTTGAGCACACGCAACACCAGCAACTTCTCGCTGGCATGCCAAATTATCACACCCCACAGCAGCAGTTCCAGGCCCCGCAAAACAACACATCGCAATTCTCCCCGAACGCACAGCAGAATGCTATGCTATACACTCCGCTGTCAATCGATGAGGATGAGGGTCACACGGATAGCTTCCAGGATGAGAATGCGGACTTCCAGCTGTTCGATTCGACCATGCAAAAGTCGGGCACGGTCCAGCCATTGTTCGGCGAGATCCCAAGTGCTGACATGGGTTTCTCTCAAAACTCTCAAGACATTTTTCAGCAAATCGACTTGTCTCAACTGGAATACCCATCATTCCAGGAATAAACAGGAGGCATGAGCTGAGAAGAGAGAGATTGAGTGACTGTGTCACAGTCTTCTTCTCTGAGCTGTATATTTACGAGGTCTGCGTGGAATTTACCACCTTAACATTTACGATATGATGATGCTGTTGCTGCTGGCGGTTGTTTTATTCTTTGCGACAGATATGTTTGCTTTTTTTTATTTCTCCTTTGAACAGAGAGCCTCTCAACTCTGAAGACGTGCTTGAAGATGGAGAAGGAGTTTATGGTGATGAGTGAAGAATAATGGAGATGGATGGGATAGGATATGAATCCGAAGCGGGGTACACGTTTGCGCAGAATTGAAGACCAGACTGTCACTTTTCAGAAGAGTGCGTTTCGTTCCCACATATATAGTATAAAGCACAAGCGTCTTTTACACTCACCAACTCCTTGGTGTACTGGCATATGTGATGATGAAACCCACCATCATTCCCCGAACAAGTGATTCAAATGTTAAGTTCCATTACGGGACGTATAAGCGAGCCCGCGGCTCCTTGGATGCCGGTGATGGGTCGGCACTCGGGGCGATAGTACCTGTCGCGGCAATAAAGAGTATCCACCTAAACAGGCTCTCGGTTTGTGTGTATGTACATAGGTATGCAGATTCTAGATAAGTAATAAGAAGGTAGCTTCAGACCCCGATAACCCCTCACTCAACTTGCCATTGCCCAACTCTGTCCAAGACCGCCGGCGAAAGTGAAAACCTCACCATCTCATATTACAACCGCGCAATCCCAACGCAATGTGCAAGAAAGCGAATTGCGATACCTGCAGTGAGGACCCAATGATCCCGCTCCCCTTGCTCATCAAGCTATAGTTCATCCACTAACAATAGATACCTACAGAGAAGGCGACGTGGTGGGGCTGCGGCGCCCACGTCCAGATGGTGATGGATAACATCCCGGATGAGGAGCGGTGCAGCTGCGATCCCAAGATCGAGAAGGGCGGCAAGGAGTATCCTCCCATGGCCAAGTCGCCCTCATGACTCGTCGGGAACGCGGCGACGGCTGTGCTCTGGGTGATGGGGAAGCGTCCGGAGTGGTCGGCCGAGGGGGTTGTGCATAAGCCGCTGGGGGGCGGCGGGGGAGGTGATGATGGTAAATGACGGATAGACGAGTGACGATGCAATGGGTCTGGACAAGGGAGTTGGTGATGATTGTTGGTTCTGGTGTGGGAGAGGCATTGGCAGGGTGCGGGTTTAGTCTGACTGGTTGTATTGGGTTGTGGTTTATCGACTGGAGTGAGAAGACCTGGATGGGTTCTTTGTATGGAGATAACATACAAGCGGATGGAATTCAAGAAGCTTCTGGCAGTTCTCGTCTATGGTTACTTTGAATATTACAAGTGATCCCTTGAAGTGTGCAGGCCAAACGTTGCGTCTTATCTCAGCTTGGAAGCAAGAGCTGGGTATCCAACGAGGTGAATTTGCGTAAATCTCATCTCATTTCCCTTATATCTTTACCTTTCCCTGTATCAATGATGGCCTCCTACGGGCTGCAGTATTTTCGTCGCCATGGGATGTCCAACATGACTTCTGAGATACACCTGTTATATTCATCACAGGACTAGTAGCTATTTATCTTCTCCTCCCTCCACCAGCGGCTGCATCTCCCCTCTCCGCCAGGCTGACAACCTCCTGAATGCCGGCTGCCTCCTGCTCCTCTTCCAAGGCAGTGATCTCCTCACGGGAATCCCACCACTTCTCCTCGCTTAGCTCGAACGCCCGCGCCTTGATCTCCTTGATAGTCAGAGTCTCTGGCTGGATGTTCTTCCAGCGGAGGCTTGTCATGAGGATCTCTTGCCACTCGTTGGAGGTGCGGACAAAGAATTCTCGTCGAGATTCGAACGGCTGGTTGGTACGGGTAATATTAGTGATATGTTCATTGGAGAAGTCGAATATTTGCAACTTACTCTGGGGTGGGGAAGGCCATCGTCCACATTCTCGTCAGCAGCTTCAGTCTCGTCGCCATCCACAGAAGTCGGTGGAGTAGACGAAGTCTCCGAGGTGGTGTCTGACACCTCGTCCTGCTGCTTCTTCTTGCGCTTGCTGGGCGTATGGAGCTTCTCGGCTGCCTCGTATTCTTCATCGTCCTCGTCTTCCTCGTCGTCCTCATCGTCCTCGTCGCCTTCTTCGTCATCTTCGTCATCGGATTCCTGTGTTTCAAAATTAGCCCATTTGCAAAAGTATCGTTGGATGGCTTGAGGGGGAGAGATCCTTACAATCCAGTCTTCAACAGGTCGCTGGAATAGCTCCTTGCAGCCGTCTAGTTTATCCAGATTGATGGCGTACAGGTCGTCAAATGTGAACTCCCGGTCGCCCTTTTCGTATGTGCCCCCGTAGATGTAGAGATTGTCGCCTTGGACTGCGAGCTGGGCATTGAATCTTATATGCGGAGGCTCCAGGGTGACGGGCTTCTCCTTGACCGGTTTCTCCTCCTCTTCCTCCTCCTTCTTGTCAAGCTCAATCCCGTCAATGTCGTCCAGGGACACGCCCGTTTCCAGGGCGGCCAGCTGCCGGAGAAGCTCCTCCTCGTTGCCCTGACGGTTACGGCGGCCCCCGCCGCGCTGCTCCTGGGCACCCTTCTTCGCCTGCTGGCGGGGCTTCCTCAGGTTCAGCGGCATGAACCTGTTGCGCTCAATGTTCCACGCGAACAGCTGGTTGAAGAACTCGCTGTCCATGCCCTCCTCGCTCTGCTCGACGTCGTGGACGCCGCCGAAGAGGATCCCCCGGCCCTTGTGCCAGGTCATGGTCGCGCCCGCGCGGGACGGCGCGGGCGTGTTGGCCGGCCTCTTGCGCTTCTCCCACCTGACGGTCGGGGGCGCGTTCGGCCCGGCGTCGGCGGCCGGCAGGCCCATGCGGAGGAAGAAGCAGTCGTCGTGGACCTTGGGCTTGAGGATGTTCTTCTGCCCCTGGCTCTGGCCGCCCTTGCCGCCCTTTTGCTTGATGTTCACGGTGGCCTTGACGCGCGAGTACCCGCCGTAGAGGACGGCCCCTTGCTCGTGGGGCAGTAGGGTGAAGGAGGACCTGGCATCTGGTTTGAGCTGAGCGGGGGGCAGGTTGGGGCTGATCCAGACGAAGTTGATGGTATCGAAGATCCAAAGGTCTGCCAGATACTTGGTCTGGTTGGAAGTGTCCTGGAAGCCACCGAAAAGAATGATGTAGTGCTTCCAGTACGTCATTCGGTGGCCACTCCTGGCGGGCGGGCTCTTGTCTTTCCCCTTGACCTCGATCTTAGTCCACTCCCTGGTTGCAGGCTCCAATCTCCAGAAGTCAGAGTAGTGGTGGAAGGTGCCCTGCTTGGGAGAGGAGAACTCGCCGCCGAAAAGATAGACGTGGCTTGGGTTGCTGGCCCGGGTCCAGGCATGACCTGATCTGGGCAAAGGGGCATTGGGCGAGGTAACGCAGCGCCATTCATCGCGGTTGATGTTGTAGATGAACAGGTCATTGTAGAACTGGGCGAGCGAGCCGTTGAAGTACTCGCCGCCAAAGAGCAGCAGGTTGTTGGTGTCGTGGGGGGCTGCCATCAAGGTAGAGGCTGCACGAGGCTTGGGCGGGACATCGCAGACAGTCTCGGTGATCTTGAGGAACTGCTCCTGCTGGCGAGCGTATTCCTCGAGGATCTCGTCGAGATCGACATCCTCGGCATCGCTGCCCTCGACCTTGGCGGCCTTGGTCTTGGCCTTTTTCTCCCCCTTGGAGGCCTGTTTGGCTGCCTTCTCAGCCTGTTGGTTTGGACTTGGGTGTTAGCGGGGATGAAATGAGTGATGAGGATGGTGGAATGAGGTGAATGGATGAAAACCTTTTTGGCCTTTTTGGCGTCCGAGCCCTTCTTCTTGTCCTTGGCCATATTTTACGTTCAAAACCCCATTTGATTTTCTTCTTTGAGGTGCTACTTATTTAATAGCTGTCCCATCAGAATTTTTTTGGGCTCTTGATGAGGGGACAATTGAAAAATCTCCAATCAACGCAACCAACGTCCAAAAACCATAAGTGAGTGTGAGCGTCTCCACTAGGATTTTGTATGTCAAGCTGCAACGTTTTCGACTTTTTTCTGCCTGCTCTTCACTGAACTCTGTCTAATTATCGTACATTTCCATTCGTCCATATATCAAGACATTTCTGTTCCCGGGTATATCTTCTTGCTCGCTTCATTCACCATGTCTCGTAGCTAGACCATATAAAATAGCCGGCCGAATCGATTAAGCGTTGGAGAGAATATTTGTAACTCTCCAGCACTAGTTCTTCTCCGGAATATTCTTTGCTGGAATGTAGGCCACCATGGCTTTGCTCGCCCCCTCCATACAGTACTGGACGACCTCTATCTTTTCTCCTTCGGGAGTAAGCTTTGCTATCTGCCGAATGTCGCTTGACCTGGGAAGATAGAGTGCGTGATCCATTGGAGAACAAGCGTTGTGGAGTTGACGGAGATCATACGGCTGCATAGTATACAAGTCGAAAATCTGGTCGCCGCTGTATCCTACGCCTCCCCAAGGCGGACTGGCAAAGACAACGGTGGCTGCCAAGTCAACTCTGAGATCGGGATGGAGTTCCTCTGGCCGGTTCACCAGAAGATCCAGAAATTCCAAACTGTCTCCGTGAACCCACGTGATGCAAGGTCGCTCGACGCCATACACATCTGCATTGTTCTGGGCGCACGCCAGGGTAGATGCATCCTTCTCAACTGCGATAATCTGGCTCCATCGACCAGACAAGGCGAATGCAATAGTGTTTCCCCCAGCGCCGGCAAACATGTCAATCAGAACCGTCTTTTTGGCATCTGAATCGTACATGTCCTTCGCAACTTGGCTAAAGATGGGACGTGAAATGTCAGCACCTCGCTCGATCAAGCTCAAATTCAACCAACCGTACTTTGCAACAGGTTCGGGCGTGACGCCAAACCAGGCATCATCCGTCATACAAATGCCCTGGTCGTACCAAGAGAAGATGGAATATCTCTGCGAGAAATACCTGTGTCCGTGGTTAGTAGACTGGCAAGCATAGATGAGATTCGAGGCTGGCTCCCAGGACTTGCTTTTGTATGTCCCAAGGAACTTCATGCCTGCCCTGGTAATGGTGGCATTGTTCGGTGAGCGGGAGCCTGTCGGCAGGCTTCATCGAGATAGTGAAGGAATGATTTGCCGATCTTGATGAGATATACCAGAGTTCTTCCGTCCTCACATTTCACAAATAATCATCAGTAGTTTTTCCCCGTCATCTTCATCTCGTGTGTATGTCCTGGGGATGATTTTCTAGTGATGGCCGACGGCCAACGACGGTAGAAGGCCACTAAGTTAGTGATAAGATAAGCCCTGGTCCTTGCTGGGTCCTCTCAACCACGGCCGTTGATGAAGGGACACAGCTCTTCCAAAAGCCCTCTTTACCACTTTATTTGTAAATTGATATATACTGATGGCTACCGAACTAAAAGAATACGAGGCCGATATCGATGTGCCAATCGAATCTATTCAAAACATTGACAAAAATGTCCTACACAGTTGGAATTCCTCAAGCCCTCAGCCGGCCTAGAGTCTAGGTACTAATACGCCTTGGGCTTGCAACAGAGCTCCCATTTAATACCAAGATCCTGTCGGCCAAACCGCACAGCACCAGTTTATGGACCCGTACCGCATGTTTAAACGTTGAGACGGATGGCCAGTCGAGGCGGTACTTCCTCAAGGTACGTCCCTGATGTTTCTGGCAGCCCATCAACTCATTCACAGCTAGGTACTCTTAGCTCATGGTGCACGCAGACAACGTTCGGTGAGCGAGGCCGTCTAATGGTGTCTGGGGAATTCAGCTCGATGAGCAGGATCTATTCTGCCAGCCCGGACCTTGTCCCTCGCCCTATAGCATGGGGCACCTACTGCTCAACCCCAGATGTGCACTTCTTCCTCTGCGAGTTTCGCGAGATGAAGGAAGAACTCCCCGGCCTCGATAGTTTCCCCGCGAGAATGGCCGACTTGCACCGCAATGCCACCTCTGAGAATGGAAAATTTGGGAATGATGTGAAAACATTCCATGGAAACACCCCGATTGAACATGGCTGGTCTGACACTTGGGAGGAGTACTTCACTAGGACCACCCGTGTCCTCCTTGAAATGGAGCAAAAGGTCCAGGGACCAAATCAAGAGATTTTAGATTTATCGGGGCCATTCTTTGGCAAGGTAATACCACGACTATTGCGACCTTTGGAAACGGGAGGAAGGTCTATTCGGCCAGCGCTCATCCATGGCGATCTCTGGCATGGGAATGCGGCCGTGGATGCATCTAGTGGCGAGCCTATTATTTACGACGCCGCATCATTTTATGCCCATAATGAATGTGTGTTTCCCCGTCTTTTTTTACTTTTGCTTCCATTTCCGTTTCTGAGAATGCGGACTGACGTCTCAAAGATGAACTTGCTGTTTGGAGGCAGCCCTGGAATAATATTGGTGCACCGTACCGCCTGGAATACTGCAAACATTTCCCTCCATCCCCGCCAGAAGAAAACTTTGATCATCGTGGCGAACTGTACGCTACTCGGGTCAATATACTTGACTCTATCCTCTACAATAAAGATGATCATTATCGTCAGATGTATGTGAACCTTCAATAACGAGCAGGGAAAGAATAATGTGGCTAACTGTCGTTTCAAAGGCTTCTTGAATCACTGAGGAGCCTGGTCAAAAGGTTTTCTGACTGATATACACCAAGACTATCGACTGTATTCCAACATCGTACCAAAACATTTATCAGATAGAACAAAAAGATATGAATCAGAAAACATATAGACCTTCAAACTGAGAAAACGATGTGCAGCATTTCAGATTCTTTTATGTATTATATTGCGATAGATATTGTCGATCAGCTATTGCAAAGTTGATAGCCTGTCATCTTCGGAGTTGAACCTGGCGGTTTTGGTGTCTCACGTTTTATATCACCCACATGAGAGCGAAATCAAGGTATGACATAAATATTATATTTCCTTGAACATATTTACAAAATTCTGAAACATTCTATCTTTATTGAATAATAATGTATGATCTTTTCCTGGCGCGGATGGCTACCCATTGGAGACTTACATTGTTGGTGGTGCTAAGGGATGCACTAAGTCAGCTTGAGGTACGAAGCCCAAGTACCTTTCAGCTACGCAATCGGCCAAGGACAGCTTTCATACCTTCAAGCTTCAACTCCCTCGACAAACCACGAACCTCACCCGCTTTATAGCCAAAAATCCTCGAATACCCCTAATCTAGATCTTACGAGTGACGAGACATTCTCCAGTTGGAACATTTCAACTCGACATCGTGGCTCCCAAGAGCCTGCAGCCACAGCCATGTTCAACGCTCTGAACCGATTCATGTCCCGTCTAGACGGCGACACCCCACAGCAACGACGCCAGCAAGAAGGAGGATCCTATGGATTCCAAGTCCTGCGTAATATAAACCTCGAGCTGCCCATAGAGCCCTGGTTCGACTTCATCGTCGGCATCAATGGGCGACCGATCGTGAGCCCCGCCACCCTCCAAATGTGCTGGAGCTAGCTCAGAGCTGACCACATCCCGCAGGAAAACCCAGACCCGACCTTGTTCGCCCAGGAGGTCCGAAACTGCGCCGGTGGAACTGTAACCTTGGGTCTTTGGAACGCAAAGGTAGGCGACAGCGGTGGGCGCATCTAGTCGTGCATGGCCGGGCTAACATGCTATCGTGATCAAGGGCCAACGGACGAAGGAGCTGCATGCGCCTGTCCCCCTCGACACAGGCTCCCTCGGGCTGTCTCTGCAGTACACCCCCATCGCCATCGCCGCCAACATCTGGCACGTCCTCGACGTGGCGGCCAACTCCCCCGCCGACCAGGCCGCGCTGCTCCCGTACAGCGACTACATCCTGGGCAGCCCCGAGGGCGCCCTGCACGGGGAGGGTGCGCTCGGAGAGCTCGTGGAGGACTTCATCAGCCGCCCGCTACGACTATACGTCTACAACAATGAGTACAACGTAACGAGAGAGGTCACGATCCAGCCGAGCCGAGACTGGGGTGGTGAGGGCGCCCTGGGATGCGTCCTGGGATACGGCGCCCTGCACCGCCTGCCGGCCCCCCTCAGCGAGCCCGTGAGCGCCCCCGGGGAGACCATGTTCGACGGAGAGCCCAACGAGAAGGCCGGCCCTGCCCTGTTCTCGCCAGTCGAGGCGGCTCCCCCCCAAGGTGGTGACTACTTGATTCCGGCGCAGATGGTCGAATCCAGCCCCGTCAGCGCGCCGCCGCGTGGAGGGAAGAAGAAGGAGAAGCACGGGCACGGGCACGGGCATAATGCGAACCCGTTGATGGACGATTACTTCAAGGAGGAGGAGCAGAAGAGCCGGGAGCTGGACGGCACGCCCAAGGCTTCGACGGGCGCCCTCCCGCCGCCACCAAAGGCGGGCGGACCTCCCAAAGCTGAGCCAGCCGCAGCGAAGAGTGAGGACGAGAGCGAATGAGACATCACACACAGCATAAGAAATCAACAAATCTCCTGATGGCTTGCAAAGGAGAAAAAAAAACAAATTTGAATTGGGCTTCCTCAGTTGGCCGGTCCTGCTTGCATCTCATGGGTGACCAGCGTGTCCTCTTCTAAACGGTGTAAATGGAAGCGTTACTATATTGTACAATGATCACTTTTTAAAGCTCGACCCTGGTTTCCCTTCGTGGCAATTTGTAAATGCGTGTATTCTGAAACCCCATTCTCTGGGACTTCGGCATAGCTTAGTTGATGAAGTTGATGCAGAAGAAATGTAGAATCAAGCTGCAGACGATGAAATCGGCAAAGGACCTAGACAAGGAGAAAGAGGCAAGGGTGAGCAACATGTATTATAGGAGAGACTTGATGGGAGTGAGCATACCTTTCAGGCGAGACCTGGGGGAACTCTGATTTGTTCGCCTCGGTGGTTTGGATGCGCAATGAGACTGTCATATTGGTGAGCACTGATTATCTTCTCAAACGACGTAGGGGGAACATACTGGTAAGAACGAACTGGCCGACGGTGGCACCGAAGCCCGAGAGGAAAGCATTGAAAGGCTATTGACACGTATTTATCAGCATTCGTGGTGTGATACCCAGAGGGACTCTCCAGGTTCCATGGAGAAGCAAGCATGCGACGTACGTAATTGCCGGCTAGGATACAGTAGAGAAATTGGAGAGCACCGACGGCGGCGAGGAAGACGAGGAAGACGTCGAGAAGCTTCGTGCGCTGCGGGGTCTCGTCGATGTAGTGGTTGTAGAGGTTGATGAGGACTTTGTCCCAGGGAGTGCTGGCTTCGCTCGCCTTGGGCTTGGTTGGAGCTGGCTTCACGACGGGGGCGGGCTCAGCGAGTGCAGGCGCAGCAACAGCGGGCGCTGCGTTGGCGGATTCTCGTGCGTTCTTCTTGGGAGCCATCGTATCGGGGGTTTCGGTCGTGAGGTAATGGGATTGGCGCCGTTCGATGAGGTGATGCTCGCGGTTGAACAGAGAGAGTGTTCGGCGTGGTTTGGGACACGAAGCTTCAAGGAATATGGCAGGTCAGGTACTCGTATGCAGCACCCCAGGGTTACGTGACAGGTACTCGACATGTACCCCTGTACGCTCCGCCAATGGGGATTTCAGCATCAACACCTTCAAGACACATACCAGACAAACGAGGAAATGTAAGCTGTTCACATGGCTATACAGCTTTAATTCTGCCTTGTTATTCCAATGACCTTATTTATTGATATTTATATGTTTGATTTGGCAAAACTTATATGAATAGCCTGTTTAAGAACATCATAACCTTATGGGGATTTTTAAGAAAGAGGTACTTAGCTGGTACAAAAAGAGATCTAGCGCCTGATAAGATAAGAGCTACGATCCACTCCAAATGCGTATGTCGTCAATTGCTACGACTATATTGAGCAATTGAGGGCGCTGCGACGCTCGAGTTTGTAATATCGAGCTTAGTCCGACCCCTCACACACTCGTCGACCAACCTCAATTCATAGGATAGCGCCGGAATCAAAATGGTAACAACATCTCGAGATAGAATTTGGCCTGGCTTCCGGTAACACAGACTGACAATTGCACGCAGGCTTCCGAACAGTATTTGCAGTTCTCCTCCTTTGTCCTGGCCGTCCTGACGGCTGGCGGAGGCACCATGGGTTATGTAAAGACCCGATCGCTTCCGTCCATCATCGCCGGCTGCTCGGTCGGATTCCTGTGTAAGTAGATGCCGTCTCTCGACCGCTCTGCGTGCGGGGCGTTCAACTCATACTGACGGGGACAGATGCGCTCGGTGGCTACCGGATCCAAAACCGCCAGCCGTACGGAGTTGAGATCAGCCTCCTCGCCTCTATGATTCTGGGATGCGCGTCGTTCCCTCGGGCCATCAAGTTGAGGAAGCCCGTGCCCGTCCTCCTCAGCGTTCTCTCCGCGTTTGGTCTCTTCACCTTTGGAGGTGAAGTGCTTCGGGCCCGGCAGTAGTCGGACTCCTTCATGATCGGTAGAACTTGCTTGTGCGGAGTTTTGAATTATTACATCCAATTATGATACCAAGCCAGAGAGCTATCCTGTCCCGACCTTTTTCTCGATTCGTAGCCGCGTGTAATTGAGTTTCCATTCGAGCTTGGGTCCCAATCGAGGAGTCGGGGTTGCCCGTTCTCCTCTCGCAAATGCGTGATAGTAATACAATTTGAGTACATGTTTATGCCAGTTCGTTCTCGAGGGTCTCTCCGCCCACGAGCACCCAGCTGTCGTTCCCACCCTTCCGGCCTATAACCCCAGCTCCTTTTGCGCCGCCTTGAGCTTCTCTCGCTTGGCCATCGCGGTCGCCCTGTTGTCCGCTTGCACCTTGGCGCGCTGGGCGCGCAGGCAGACGTCGACGGCCTCTTTGGCCGAGTTGCAGCTTCCGACGGCCTTGTGCAGGAAGCCCTGGGCGTGGCACTCCTCCAGGGCGGTGATGACCTCGTCGCACGCTGCCGTTTCAAGGTGACGTTAGCGGATGACTCGCACAGGAAGGGAGGGCACTGCGTTAGGATGCAGCGAGGTGGAGGGAGAGAGCCGTACCCATGGCGTTCTTTGTGTGCAGATGAGGATGCATTTTGGGCGGTTTGGACTGATCAATTGGCGGGTGCAAGATGTACAATCAGCTGTTGCTTGTTCCGTTCAATCGATATTATAGACCGGGGCGAGACAAATTGTTAACCAGTGGATCTACGCCGATTAGACATTCGGGTTGGTTCTGGGTCCTGTGGCTTATCAGCCCGCTGAAGACTGCCCCTCCATGTGCCACACCTAAATTCCCTACTCACCTACTCACGGCTTCTCGCATAGGCGGACGGCAAAGGAGCACGCGCCTCATCCGGTCGTCGAGGTTTCATACGACACAGACATATTTCTTCCCTTTTTCTTCTCTCCATCAACGAAGCCTAGCTGTGCATAATGTCTTCCGCAGCCACCCAGCAGGCACAGCCTGCTCAGAAGGGTCCTCAAAGTTTGTCCCCCCCGCCATGCCTCATTCCCCCTTCTTGAATGTGGAATGAGTACTCATGTAAACAGCCGATCTTCAAAGCACCTACACCAACTACAAGAACACCCTTCAGCAGATCGCTCAAAGAATAGGCGATATCGAGCAGGAGGCTGAGGAACACAAGTATGTCTCTCCTGCCCCTCCCTGGCCACCTGCAAGCTTTCCCAGATCCCCCTCTCCTTCATCCTGTCAGAAAGCCACTTTTATCCCTATAAATATATTATATATTATATATGTATATTCATATCCTTTATGTCTTTCACCGTCTTTTCTTTCTCAGCCGCAATCTTTACAAGGATTTCACTCTTCTACAAGGATTTCACCGCTCACATAGTCCCGAACCCTCTTCTTTTCTAGGCTTGTTCTTGAAACTCTGGAACCCCTTCCCGGGGACCGAAAATGCTTTCGTTTGATCAACGGCGTGCTTGTCGAGAGGACCGTCAAGGATGTTATACCAGCGGTCAAGACCAACCAAGAAGGTTTGAGACAGGTCCTTGATGACATGGTCAAGCAGTACAAGACAAAACAAGATGAGCTGGATAAGTGGAAGGTTCGTGCACACCCTCCGAAAGTGGGATATGAGGGAGGGCAACATTGGACTAACAGTCAATGCTACAGAAAAAGAACAATGTACAGGTAGTCCGACAGCAGTGATGCAACAACGATTAGTTGGTCATCATGGCGGGCAACGCTGGCATGCTGGGTTACGGGTGACAACCTTGGATGTTTCCTTTGTTCCACGTCTTGGCTTTTGAAAATAGCTCCAGACGTGCTTCACCCCCAAGCATCAATCCCGGCTACACCCCTCTCTTCGTATGTATGTACAGTGATCCTCTGGGTCAATGGGTGGGAATTTTTTGTTTCATGCAAATACGAAGCCATGAAGCGAGAAGGATAAAGACTGAAAAAAAAAGGCCGCCGCTCCGGAAAATGACCCGCGCCGCAACCACACTGCAGCTATTTGCCAGCGCATACCGTGGCCGTGGGGGGAATTTCTGCCCAATGAACCACGCTCCCTGGGATCATAATCTAGAACCTGAGCGTACCGGTGGAATAAAAAAGTTACCCCCCGAGTTCCTGCCCGCGGACGTGCTAAATACCGAAAAGAGAGTGAGAAGTAGGGTGACGCCTGCATGATGCGTAGATCATCGTTGGTGCGTTTATAGGCTGCTTGCTTTTGAGGCTTCAATGCAGACCGGAGAAAGATGGGTGTTTGCTTTGGCCATGATGAGGCTTCCGTGTTTCGCACCCGATCTATTAGACTCTGTAGAAACCCAATTCTCGGGGTATTGGCCTGGGATGTGATAGAACCGCATATGATGGCATAGGACCTCAGCTGCATGTCAGAGGCCTTGACACCTGGCGCAATAAAAAAAACTCCGTAATGCTACCCTCCATGATCCCATGTGCTGGGTTGGCGGCATGTAGACTTTTATTTCTCTCAGTGGACTGGGCGAACAGGCATTTGGTAAGCGCACTATCTACCCGCAGACAACCTCATGTTGATCCCAAGTTCTCGGTTTCACTCCCCTCTCCCAGGGGGAGAGAACTCCTGGGAAAGTGGTGTCGTCGGGCTTCTCTCATTGGGCTGGCGGTATGCCGGAAGCTGCATGCCGTACATGAGCAGGTGAGAAGCTAGGGCTGAAGCCAACTGAGTGGCTGACAGCATGCTTAGCTGGTGGACGGACGAAGAGTAGTCATGCAGCTTGAATGACCCGTCACTTCTGGAAATAGGCTCAACTGGGTATCAATATGCCAATGAGGAGAGGTGGCCCCACGAAACATGGTCCGAGAGGGTCTGAACATTACACCTCTGCCCAATGCCACGTGAAGGAGTGTTAAACAATTGGCCAAGTCATGTTGCTTTGGAGCCGCCTCGAAAGACCAGCGCGCTCCATGTGTCAGAATATGCAGGCAAGAGAGGGACCTTGGCAGCCTCAGGGAGGATGGGGTCGAGAACAGGGCCGTCGGGCTCACCATCCCCGCAGCCAGCTCTGGGACCTTAACTCACTCAAAGAAAGTAGACGAGAGCTCTCCCATCTCAAGGGCTCGCACCACAAAATGGGTGGCTAAGCCTGCACATGCTGTGGTGGTGTCGCAACGGCTGTGATACCCAGTCGGTTGCTAGCCACACCACTAAGCCGGGGACAACAGCGTGTCCGAGACTGGGTATCAATATCGGACTCGTTGGTATCTTGTGACGTATTTTTTAGCCCGCTGATTGACACATTGCAATACATATCTCCCCACCTTGGAACAACGTGTGGGAAAGATAGAACCCAAAAGAAGAGGAATGGATCGTGAGCAGGCATGTAATACACAGTAGCAGACAGGCGTGGGTGGGTGTGAGAGAGCTAACCTGACTTTGGCTAACCCATCGACCCGTTGGCACAGCCAATCGACACACCGCCTCTCCAACGATGAGCGTGGATGTCTGGGACGGCACGGCCGATGAAGCAGGATTTCGTACCAAGGGGATGGATGACAACCCCGTCAGAGTTGCTGGTGTCCAGCGAGATATTCGCTGCTTTCTTGTTGCCTGGATGCAGTCAGATATCTAGTTTCTGGTGGACCCTATATCAAGCCATCAACACAACGTCGTTGATGGTGAGCCGAGTATTTTGGGAGATATAATTCATGGGTGAGGTAGGTGCCTTAATTGATACAACCATTGATGAGGGAGGTATAGTCTGGCGCTATTATGGCGAGGCCCGAGGCTTCCATTCACTAAGTATGTCGTCGCCCAAACGCAGGCAGGTTCGACTTACTGACTTTGGGTAGACAGGCAGGCATGCGTACCTGAACGTCCGCTTCAGGTAAGAGCAGCTTCAGGGGCCCAGGGCAGTGGGCACCATCAACACAGCCAACCATACTACATGATTGCCTGGATGATGAC